TATAACAGATAGACACTGATAACACAATTATAAAATATCAACACAATTACACAGATGGCGCTAACCTAAAGTTTTTACAAACTTAAAAAAAAGAAGTTTGTTATGTGCTTGACAATTGCAAAATGAGTTAATGGCATGAAAAACTAAAACAGATTCTCTGTAAAATTTATAAGAAATTGCGGTTATTCAGAAAAATTATTTCCACACGTTCGTTAAAAACTAACAACTCGCCCAATACTAATATTATATTATAGTAACCTAGGAGACGTATATTTTTTAATTGTATAACTGTAATAAAATATTTAATCCACTAAATAAAAAATTTATCATACATGAATAATTTAACTAATAATTTAAAAAAAAATCTAATGGTTTTGAAATTTAATAATAGAATGTCTAAATAAAATATATGTCCATTTGAATTTTAGTTTGGTTGAGTTTAGTTTAAACTTTATTATAACTGGTTTGATTTTACATTTTCTAAAAAAATAATAATTTTCATAGAAAAAATTTAATTTAAAGCCATTAATTTTTTAACAGATATATTAAAATATTTTAATTTTGACATTTATTTTTATTTAAATAAACTATAATATTAATTAAAATAAAATATTAGTTAAAAAATAATAAATTTATTCGGATTTTACTAGGTTTATTTGTTATAATATTATAAATTTTTCCATTGTCGACTGACCTATTAATATTATTAATAAGCCAGTCAACAATAGAAAAATAACGAAAAAAATTCCCAACCAATTTTTTTTTTTAAGTTGAATTAAGATATGTATAATGACATAATAAAAGTCCTCATCAATTGGATTCTACTGAATTTGTACACCATTGACCTTTACAACGTCCACATATAATAGAACATTTAAGTAAAGTTTTTCAGCAGCCACAATTTTTACCACAACCTTTGGCACAACTGCATGATATGCTTTTAAGTATTTAGTCGGGTGCTGGAGCTTTCAATGTTGTAACTGGAAACAAAATATTATTTTTAAAAACCCACCCCCACTCTTCAAGATTTTGTTTGCGACATATCCATAACTGAATTTGTAAATAAACTCTGTAAGAGTGTTGTCTTGCAGTATTTTCTGTCGGAGGAAGTGAAACAAGATTAGTTTTATTTTTCGTTGAAAATTTTGTGAATAAATTAAAACGATGTTGATTCAAAGATTTTTCATTTTCAGGTGCTCCATATAAGTATAAAAAGCATTGAATACAATTTTGAACTATTTCATCATGAGATGAATTAGGTCTATTAAAAATTGAAATAACTGAATTTATTTCCTCTCGTTTTTCTAAAATTTGAACATATTTTTTTTCCTTTTTGAAATAAGGCTGACGTTGTATCACATCTACTTATTGCATGATAAGACAGTATTGTATTAATCAATAAAGGATTATTTTTTTGTATAAATTCAGTACTAAAAATTTTTTTTTCTTCATTACCGGAGCTAAAAAAAATATATTATTTTCACTAGGATTTAAAGCGATAAGAAGTACTAATAAATCAATATCTTCATCAACCACAATAACTTTAGGATAATAACTAGACACATTAATTGCAGTGTTAA